TAAATATGTTATTATAATAAAGTTTAAAATAATAACAATAATAAATGCTTTTATTTTTGGAAAGGTGCTTAAACTTTAGTAATACATAGTATCACTAGTATAACTGTTGTAATATAATTATGCATTTTACAAAATACAATAATAAATATTTTATTTTATATTTTTTATTCGTTTTTTGACCTGGCTCCATTTAAACGTTTTGTTGTAAAGTTTGGTCTAATACCTCAAAACGGTTTTTAAGAAAAAACAAAAAATCGCCTTATGTTTCCAAATAAATCACAAATGCTTTAAAATTGAAGACATTTTTTCAAAAACAGCAAAAAATTTTAATTTTTCAGGAAAAACATAAAACGTCAAAGAAGATCTAATATGCTATCTAGCTAGATTTGAGAATTTTGTGACATGTGCGATTTTTGAAAGAAAGTCTTCAATTATTTTATAACGCCGGCTAAAACGTAGTTTAAAAAGTTATATTACTTTAGGTAATTAAAGAGTTAAAATTTAAAGCACGAAAGTAACATGTCATAAAATAAATTTGAGTAGTTTTACACATTAAATTCCTAAATTGGGGGGAATATTGCAAATTTCGTTTTAATAATAAATTATTGAAATGATTACTTTGTATAAGTTGATTTTTTGTTTTTTCTTAAAAACCCTTTCTAGACATTATTAAAATAAAATACAATATTACCTCCAATTTAGGAATTTAATGTGTAAAACTTTACTCAAATTTATTTTATGATTTGTTAACGATATTTTCACAAAAGTTCTTACTTAATGTATAAAAAATATTTAAAAAATTAACCAATTCTGAGGTGGTTTTACGTAAAAAAATATTATTTTTACTTATTAATCCAAAACTTGTTCATAAGAACTTTTTTCAACCAAACAAATGAAAGGTACATTAAAAGAAACATTTAATAAAAATAATGTACTCATATATTTTTTAATATTTTAAATTTATAAATTAGCCACTAGGATTTTGATGATCTTATTTTATTTAAATATTTGGTATAATTAATAAATAACTATGATTATTTGGATATACCTACAATTTTTTAATACAACTCTGATTACTACTTAATAACAAATAATTTTTTGCTACTACAATATTTATATTTTGCTAGAAGGTTTATGCAGTCTGCACCAATATTTATTTGTAGGTGGAACAATTAAGTTGCCCTGAAATAGTAAGACATATTTGTATTGGTAACAAAAAATAACTTGTAATACCCAATGCTTATTTGTAGGCAGAGCAAAGAAATTTGTTCGAAGTAGCAGCAGTATTTGTTCTGTGTTGATATCATTATTTGTCTTGGCAGCAAGCATTTACTTATTACAACAAATCATTATTTGTACATAGTGCAATTAAGTTTGCCCGAAATGATAAAAAGTATTTTTTATAACAAATGCTCATATGTAGGCATAGCAAAGAAATTTTTGTTAGCAGCAGATAATTATACAATATTTGCTGCAGTAGGAAACAAATGTGTAGGGGAGGGTAAAAATAATTTAACACTCTTTACAAATGTAGAAAAATATATTATAATAACTAGGTACGTTTAAATTCAACCAAACTACAAATACGATTCGATTTCGTCGTTCAATTTACCAGTTATCTAGAACGAAAGACAAAAAAATACTTTAATACACATAAAATTTACTGGATTAAATTCGCTAACTACGGATTAAACATGTGATGTTTGACTACAATTAGGAAGACTCGTTTTTGCAGAAACAATTTCCTATAAAGTGAAATGGACTTTCGCAAAAAATTTACATTTCATAAACACTTATACCTACGTAATAAGATAAAATAAAAGCTACCAACCCATACCTTTATGTGAATAATAAATCCTTCTTCCACTTCAGTCTTTTACGGCCGCCAACACTGTGATCGCTCGCGTTTTAAAGTGTGTGTAGACAATAAATGTGACAAAATAAATAAAATCCTTGTGGTTCTTACTTCTATGAAAAAGAAAAAACTTGAATTATGTTTCAATACAAAGTAAAATTGCCTATCTTGTATTATATTTTCATCACCGAGTCCACTTATTTTACTTAAGATGTATCCGGATTTTAGCTTTTATGTCTACTACAAACTTGCCCATTAAATATAAAAACAATACAATACTTACGTTTAAAAATATCCACATATTTAGAGAATCCCCATTGATCGTAACTAATGTAAAGGTACACAAATTGCTACGCAATCTTCACACGAACAAATCTCAAATGATTTTAACTCTGAAAATGGCATAGTAGTGGCCATTTGGAAAGTCTGGTAATCTTCGGGTATAAGTTTTGCCTTTTTTAAATTTATATTTTTGCTGGTAAAAATTTTTGATAATTACTTTGTTAGTTATTTTTTCGCGTATGTGTTGAAATATCATTAAAACATAGTTTAATAAACAAATATTTATAAATTTAATGTAAATGTTACATGTGTACATGAATAAGAGAACAAACTTAATGCTGGGTTTTTACAAATGTTTTGAGGTCCCATGCAGCCCCTAAAAACTCTTATCTTAGGTAAAAGTGGGGTTTTATTGCCCTTCTTGAAAATATCAATACTCTTAAATGAAAACCAGATGTGGTCATGTGCATGAAAAGCTTTTAAAATAAAAATAAAAAATATTTTGGTGTAACATTGATTTTAATCATTAACATACTTATTTTTTTATTAAATTTTTAAAAGACATTTAATTTTTTAATAATTTTTTAAGATGTTATAAATAAATTATTTTTAAGTATAACATATATGTCTATAGACATGCATATACATGCGTCACGTATTGTTACTATAACAACCAATAAATACTTAATTTATAATTATTTCTTCTTGTATTTACCTATAACCTTGTTAGGTTGGTACTTAATTAAATATAAAAATTAAATACTTTGCAACCAACTATGTACAGTTACGGAAAAAAGTAATGTCCATTTGAATGCTCCATTGTAATTGTTCGGAGGCATTCGGGTTTTGCTGATAAAATTAACATATCTATTTTTAAACTCAATAATTCTACCTACCTGCTATTTACCATTCTTTCTAGGCACATTTCATTTGACTTTTAAGCTTTTATGCAATAATTAAATATTTAAGGAATAACATTGATTCTATAATTTAAATATAATAAACTATATATTATTTAATAAGTTGTTATTAATAAAATATATACTTAAATGAAATATAGACATATAATACTAAAATAATTATAAACTTTTGCATAATTTTGAAAATAAAATTGTTAATAACCCTCTTTAATGTATTTACCTTTTTATGTGATTTTTTGTTATCTGGGCAATATAAATTAAAATATTTATTCTTACTATGTTAATTAAACCCATTAAAATTTTAAACTAAAATACATTTTGTGCACTATTACTACGTTTTTCTACTTCTATTGCATATTATTGATATTTTTTGTTTTTATTTGCATAAATAATGGTAACCAATATAACCGCCCGGTCTATCAAAGTGAATTATATTATATTATTATTATATTTACATACGTTGTTATGTATCAGTGATTGGCTATAGGTATTGTAATCTTTTCTTATTAAGCCGGATGAGGATTAGCCCTTTCGGCAAGTATTAACTTATACCTCTAATTATGCCTAAATACGCGACGTGTGCGCCGATGATAATTTTAACGGCGCCGGCGTATATTATTATAACTTTAAAAAATAAATATTTTATAATTTTTTACACATTAACATACATATAATAAAAGAGCAATAAATAAATATGAAGAAATATATAATATATATTTTATAATTTTATAGCTATTTATGTTTATATGTTTTATAGTTTTTATATGTATGTTATAGTTTTATAGGTATGTTAACTTTTATATTATAATTATATTAAACATTTTTTGATAAATCCTAGTATATTTAATTTAAAAATATACCAAATATAAAAATTTTAAATATAAGTTTTTAATTTTAACACATAAAAGTGCAACAAATAATAAAATGTGTTTTTACTCCTAAAATAGTGTATTGAATCATTGCTAGTTCTGAAAAATGTAAAGTTAGTTTTAAAAAACTACAACTTGATAATATTATTTATAGACTAAAAAGTTCTTTCATAGAATAAATGTTTATAAAACTATACAAAAATATGTCAAAAAATTAACGATTTAATAAAAATACAGTTAAATAAGTAACATACCCAAAATAATTAATTCAATACGAGCAGGTAGTAAATTCTAAATATAGACATATTTTTAAATAAATCCCTAAGAGGCAGATGTTGACTATTTCCGAATGCCTCCGAACAATTACAATGGAGCATTTAAATGGACATTACTTCTTTCCGTAACTGTACATTACTTTATTTTGTATTATCAATAAAAAAGTATGCTCTGTAAACACAATCTTCAACTAACGCACATTTGTTACGTCAGCAAATGTCAGTTTGCTATAAGCAAAATGCTGTTTGCACAGAAAATAAAGATTTTGTCCGTAAAGCAAAACATAAAGAGTTCATATGCTTACTACTACAAGCATTTTGACATTTGTTGTAAGCGCAAAACTTTACCGTTTATTTGTAATGTCCACAAATATAATACTCTTTCCAACACATTGCTTTCAGCATATTGTTTTTTGCTACCAAAACCTATGCATTTCTTTCAGTGTAGATCAACCAAATAATAAGACTATAATTATATTATAATATGATATTATTATATTATATTATATTATATTATATTATATTACCAATTTATATTTTTCTTTCTCATAACAAATTTTTACTTGCAGAAAATACATACAGGAAATCAAACTCGGCATCTCAAACTAAAACACGTCAACGTCTATAGGCAATTTAAGATCGAAGAAACGGTTTCGCGTTCTTCTTTACTGTTGAATGATCACCCGGACAGTCGGTGCCTAAACCATGTAAGATTAAATAAAAAAAAAAGATACAGGACGCTATTTTACAATTGGTTACAGTAAATGGGCGGCCTTTCTCTATATTTAGTGATTCCGGTATGTTGATTCTTCTGGAGCCAATATTAGAAAGACTTCCGCCATCGGAAAAAATTACCATTACTTCAGAAAATGTTAAGCTTAGTGTATTTGAAGAAGCAGAGCGTATAACTTCCGAAATAAAAAAAGAAGTCCAAGAAACCAAGTTAGTTAGCGTCAAAGTTGACATAGCTTCAAGACATGGTCGATCTTTTTTGGGGTTGAATCTTCAATTTATATCAAGAGAAAAACTATCAATAAGGACTTTGGGTGTTGAGGAAATAACTGAGAAACACTCTGGCGAAAATTTAAAAAACCTAATGTTTAAAATATTTGACTCATTTGAGTTAAGTGTACAAAGTATATATTCTTTTACATCGGATAATGCTACAAATATGATAAAATTGTGCACCTTATTGGACAAGGAAATTAACTCGCAAATTGAACTTTTATACGATCTTGAGACAATTGGTGATGACGAGTTAATTGAACGAAATACAGAAAATGAAGAAGATAACCGGATATTAAATTCTTTGCAAGAGTGCACTATGTTATTGCCAGGGTCTTCTATAATTAATATTCAATGTGCGGCCCATACAGTTGGCAATTGAAGATGCCATGAAAATAACAGATGTTAACGAAATCATTGCAAAGGCTAGAACAGCGGTAAAGAATTTTAGAAAAGACGGCGTCATGAATGTCGTGAGGAAATTGCGGCCTAATATATCAAAGCCATCATTGGACGTCTTAACGCGATGGCATTCCACTCACGATATGTTGTCGTCTTTATTAAAATTTAAAGATTTTGATACACAAGTTGGTTTATCCGAAAACAACTGGGCGGATATAGAATCCTTAGTGGAAGCATTGCAACCAGCAAAAATAACGGCCAAGAAATTGCAGTCTGACCAGCTGCTTATGCCTGATTTTTATTGCGCATGGTTATTGTGCATAGAAAAGACAGAGGAAATAGATTCGACATTGGCCAAAAATATAGTCAAATGTATGAAAACAAGGGAAACAAAACTGTTGGATAATGCAAGTCTTTTATCTAGTGTATTTTTGGACCCCCTCCTCAACGGTTTGCTGGATGAGACTCAACAAGCAATAGCCAAAAAGAATTTATGTGCAATTTGGTACCGGTTAAACCAGTTCACTGAAAACCAAACTCAACAGAAGAAATATTAAATAATGAAGAAACTAAGGTAGCCTTAAAAATAACAGCGGCGCTCGGAAAGAAAAAAAAGAAGGCACGATTGCAAAAAACAAAGTTAAGGGATATAATGTCAATGTTAGAAAATTTATATTTGGAGTGTGAACGAAAGGAAACAGATTCACTTATTAACTTTTGGGAATCAAATAAGTTTTTAATGCCTGAGTTATATAAGGTTGCTTTGATTGCTCTGGCTACACCAGCCACACAAGTTAGCGTGGAAAGACTATTTTCTGGCCTAAAATATATATATTCAGACTTAAGGGCAAATTTGCGAGAGGATTTATTGAACGCAATCATTTTATATTAAATTCTGATAACAAGACCAAGGACTGCTGGCGTATTATAAATCATGAACGTAATATAAATAAAGTTAAGGACACCGAAACCACTATATCTGAACACTTATTTAATAATTTCTTCGCTACAGTAGCGGAACACATAATTAAATCTTTGCCGGGAGCCCGTCACAATGCTACCCAGACTCTCAGGGATGCTCTAAGAAACAACAATTTTCCGTCATTCTTCATGGCACCAGTTACTAATATTGAAGTAGAGAATATAATAAAAAATCTACGAAACTCATATAGCACTGATATATTTAACATAAATAGTGGTCTGGTCAAGGAAACTGCTGATATTATTAGTAAGCCTTTGACAAGTATGCTAAACAAATGTATATGTAGTGGATTTGTAAAGCTTTTATTTAGATATTTTATATAATTTTTTTTCAAGCTCTTTATAAGGGTTATTCTATCTACCATAAGTTTTAAATTTCATTTTTTTTTATTGTATGTTCCATATAGTGTAATTCTATATTTTTATACAAAGACGGAAAAATTTCGATAATACCATTAATTCCTTGAAATCGCTTCAAACTAAAATGGAAAACAATAAAAACTGATTTTGTCCCTTACTACCAAATTTTTTAGATGGAACTTTTTTGCTTCTGGCATAATACGTATTATATTAGTGCTATAAAAAATGGAATTAAACCGCACACATACCAGCTGCTTGGACAAGTAAGTTAGGTTATTTAGTTTTAAAACTAATCAGTAAAAATTAAATTAATTAAAAATCTATGGTTTTTTAAGGTATTAATGGTAATTAAACATATTAATTTTTTATTAAGAGAAAAAAAAACGTTTTACAAAAACAAAACCAGTAAAACAAAACTTTAAATATCAGCTTACAAAACCAAATGATTTGATACAATCATTTGTCCAATACACGGTATATATTTATAAATTAAAAAGGAAGTTATTATATTTTTTTAAAATACAAATATCAAGACCTATTTATTACCCAAGCCATTTTGTTTTATTAATTTAACAATATAAAATTTTATAAATTGGGGGGCAGAAAGAGATAATTAATAAAAAAATTTAAATTGTAATTATTAAGATCTTTTTATAGATACCCATAATGCCATGTTAACTTTGCATTATAAAAATGTAATAAATTAGTGTGCACAAGGGAGCTAATTTATAGAATTCTTTAAATTGAAATTTTTAACATCATTTTATAGATACCCATCTTGCCACGTTAGTTCTTCAATTTAGAAATTTAAAGAATAAGGGCAGAAGGAGGGGGTTATTAATATAATTTTTCAAATTGTAACCTTTTTATAGATACCTATCTTACCATGTTAACTTTTCAATATAAAAATGTAATAAATTAGAGGGTAAAAAGGGGGGTAGTAAATATAATTTTTTAAATTGTAATTTTTAACACCATTTTATAGATACCCACCTTGCCACGTTAGTACTATAATATAAAAGTTGAATAAAAAAATGCGGAAGGAGAGGATAATTAATATAATTTTTAAATCTTAATTATTAGGACCTTTTTATAGATACTAATCATGCCATGTTAACTTTGCAATTTAATAATGTAATAAATTAGGGGGCAGAAGGGGGGTAGTTACTATAATTTTTTTTAATTGTAATTTTTAACACCATTTCATAGATACCCATCTTGCCACGTTTATTCTTCAGAGTAAAAGTTTAATAAATAAAGGGGGACGGAAGGGGTAATTAATATAATTTTTTAAATTATAAATATTAAGACCTTTTTATAGATACCCATCATTCCATGTTAACTTTGCAATTTAATAATGTAATAAATTAGGGGGCAGAAGGGGGTAATTAATATAATTTTTTAAATTGTAATTTTTAAGACCTCTTTATAGATACCCATTAGGCTATGTTAACTTTGCAATATAAAAATATAATAAATTAGGGGGGTAATTAATTTATTTTTTTAAATTATAATTTTTAACACCATTTCATAGATACCCATCTTGCCACGTTAATTCTTCAGAAAAAAAGTTTAATAAATTATCGGGGAAGAAGGGGGTAATTAATAATAATAATAATAAATACATTTATTTACCCATAAAAAGAAAATACATATAATTTACAAGAATTTGTATGTAATTAGGTAAAATGGCCATGCTCAGTTGTTGGTTTTATTTATTTAAGTACTTTTGTTTAATCACGTTTAATAAAAGCAACTCCTGGTCTTCCGCATAAACCAAAATAAATTAAATTAAATTCACTTTACTACTATCATACATGATTATATAGATATACATAAACTCATTGATATGAGACATAAATATAAAGAAAAAAAAATAAAATAAAAACACACAATATGAGAAAAAATAGAAAAAAAAGATATATAAAAATACATTAAAGCTTGCCATTCTAAAGAAAACGCTTAAATTTCATTGAAAATTTACTTAGAGACAATGATTTAAACTCATCAGGTAGTTTGTTATATGAAGCCGCTACATTATAGGAAAATACTCTCTCGAAGAGAGCTGTTTTGTGCTTTGGTACAGTTTTTTTTGTGCCTAATGTTAATATTGTCTATGTCTATGTACGATATCGTATTTTATTATAAAGATATTCTGGTGATTTTAAACAAATTATTTTATAAAAAAAATTCATAGAGTGGTAAATCCTTCTATATGCCATTTTTAAACCATCTAGTTCCGAGTATTTTCGAGAAATATGTTCATATTTGCATATTCCGAAGATAAACCTAATGCATGCATTTTGGATTTTTTGAATTCTTTTTGCGTCAGCAGCATCTATGCAAAAATGATACAAGTTATCACAATAATTGATTTGGAAAGCACTAAGCTTTCACATAACAAAATTTTAAGATGTTTAGATAATACCTGCCTATTATTATAAAGTAATTTGAGACTATAATAGGCTTTTCCTATAATATTGTTTATATAGCTCTTAAAACGCAAATCCTTATCAAGAATAATATCAAGATTTTTTGCCTCGCTAACACATACCATTTGAATGCCTTCCACTAATATATTTAAATTTGATTTAATATGGTTATAAGAATTCGGTTTAGAAAAGATTACTAAGGATGATTTAGATGCATTAATGCAGAGACTGTGATCTTTTGCTGTTTAGATTAAATTTGCTACATCCTGGTTTAGTTTTAATTCGGCTTCATCTAAAGCGGAAACATCAAAAGATAAATAAATTTGGGTATCATCTGCATAAAAATGTACTTTGCAGAAACTAATGGATGCATAGAAATAGCAAGTGTAAATCGTGTACAGTAAATGTTATCTAAAAAAGTTCAAGCTATAAATTTGCTGTATATATCTTCAGACGAAATTGACTCATACAACAATACGATTACAAAACTTTGGGAAAAAGTTTTACCAATACCAGGCATTCAATCTAAGCATTATGTCAGGCCAAGCGAGAGAAACAATAATTATTTACTGGTAGGCCAAACTACAAAAAATGACCACAATGAAGTTTTAGCTTTTAGAAATTAGAATTGTTTGTATTGTTACACAATAAGTTAATAAAACCGTTTAATTTATTTTTCAATTTTGTTTAATTTATTTTGTCCCGTCCATGGTGTCCCATCCATGGGTAAAATATATACAATTTAAAAAAATATTAAAAACTTTTTCATAATTTTAAATTCAAATTATATTAGATTTGTTGTTACTATTTAAGATTTTTTAACCTCAGTGATTAAGTTATACACAAGTTTAGAGAAATATGACTATGACATAAAATCAAAAAAGACTTCAATTTCTAGATGACCCGTCCATGGTCAGTTTTATCTGGCCTTATATCTAGTATGTTACTAATGTTTGTTAATTCGATTTAATCAAATTACTTCTTCTGATTTGGCTAATTCTTCTCATAAATACTCGTAGAAAAAATAAGTAAACTTAAGGAAGTAACAAGCATATACATAACATGTTTCTGATGTGTCCCGTCCATGGGCTTGGAATGGACGCCAACTTCTGTTCTGTACCTAACGTTTTGAATAAAAACTTTTGATTGTGTCGATTTATAATCTTTGATGTGGATTGTGCATTGGATATTACCTGGTAAGTATGTTATAATTGATTTCTTTCTTTTAAACATTTGTGGTGTGTAATGCTTTATTTTGCAGTAAATTAAATGGAAATGGATGAAAGAGATATTGCTGGACGCATTTTACATGCAGCCCTTTCAGCAACTACTACTACTACTACTGCAGAAGAAGTATCTTTTAGCCGTGTGGTGGCAGCTACCAGGGCGTCATTTAGACGAGGTCGTAAACGGAGGGCAATTTACCAACGCAAGGTGTTTTTTGTAAAATTGGCAAACGTAGTGTTTCTGCCCCCACCTTATGAATAAAAATATTTAAGAAGAAGAGGACTAGGTAAGAGTAATCAAAACTTAAGGGACCATATGAATAAATAATGAGCATTTGCTACGACTGCCTTATTAAAGTGTGTTATTAGCCAATAGGTGCCTCCAATAATATTAGTTTTTAATTTATAAGCTTGTAAAGCTTGTAATAATTCAAAGTTTACTAAACAAGCACAATTGTTGTTACATTTAGACGTCGGATTTTTTTCCAGCGAAGACGTCAAAATGATTATATTAAATTGTTTTGTTCAAATTTCGTTTGGAGCAATTAATTTTTATTT